TTGAGTACATTTTTGACTGTGTATTTGTACTTTTACTTAAGTACATTTTTTGAGTACTTTCTCCACCACTGGTTAAAAGTTAACGTGTGACAAAAAAAAAGGCAAATTAAGACAGCAATGGTTCACCAGAGCAGAAATCTTCCAGAACTAAATCCTGGAAAAGCTTAAGGATGAGCAAAAGAATACTACATGGAACTCTGATTCTTGTGAAACTATATTGGAAAAGAGTGAGTGCTTTCCCATTGACAAAGGAGGTAATACAGAGTACCGACAGAAGGGATAACAATTGTGCTACAAGTGATTTTGTTAGAAACAATATTTTATCCATCCTGCTTTCCCTGCTGTAACCTAACAGATATTTTTAGACTGTGGGAGGACACTGGAGTGCAGAAAGACCTCTGGCTGGGATTTGAACCGAAGACCTTCTTCCAGCAAGGCAAGAGTGCTACAACTCTACCTAACACTATCCAACCCAACAATTCCTGAGCATGAGGTTTTTTCCAAGTTAAAGGTGGCATTCTAAAATGTTTTGGTGCGAGACGTTTCGTGCACATAACAGGAATTTAATCTCAAATTTCCGCCACATCTTTGCCGGGCTGCTAACAAACGAAGGCAGCGCTGCGTCATAGTCTACGAGACGAACCTTCACCCATCAGGATGAAAGTTCACTTTCACTGCAAACATCTCATTTCAACCGGTTTCAGCTTGTAGAGTCCAGAAAACGGGGAGCCACTTACACTTATGAATGATTTATGTGCAACAGGGGGACTTTAAAAGGCTATTCAAAGCCATAAATCATCATTACATATTACACCCACCACGAGTTTCATAAATTACAACCCTGCTGTAAACATTGCACACCCCCTCCCCCCCACCCCCCAACCACACAACTATACAGTCACTGAACATCCAAGCACAACTAAACCTTCAGACGGAGAAGCAGCTCTTAGCCGACCTCGGCTCTTTGCGCCGAGCAGCTTCTCTGCGTTAACCGTAGAACCCTGGGCAGGGATGAGCACCCCAGTGTGTCCAGGACTGTCAAGCAGTGACTCGCTCAGCAAGTAATTGGCCTATTATTGGTGAGAGCACAGAAACCGCAGAGTCAACAGAGGATGAAACGGAGCAACCGATCAGGATAAATAAGTGGCGGAAGAGCCAAATCGGCAAGTGGGGCATCACAACACATCAGAGATTTCCTCCGCACTCTCTCCCTCTCTCTTTCTTTCTCTCTGCTCACTCCATCCTTCATTCACACTCCTCCAGTAGGAATCCCTCCCCTTTTCCTCCATCATATTCACTCCCCCCACCTCACCCTCTCTGCCTTTGAAGATGCTTTGTTTCTTGACTTGCCTCTAATCTTCAAATAGGGTGATCTAATAACGGCCGCAGGAGTGCGTGTGCAAGCGAGTTCTGTAGCTCTGAGCCTTATGTGAGTGAGTGTGTGTGTGCGTGCGTGTGTGTCTATGTCTAAGCGTGCTGTACATGCCAATCTGCACGCATGTTGTGTGTTTGGATGCGATAGATGCATGTGTGTTGACGCGTCCCGACAAGTTGCCCTGGGTGCTGTTTGGATGTCATGCTGTGCCCTCCCATGGTCTGTCTGAGGTGTGTGTGTGTGTGTGTGTGTGTGTGTGTGTGTGTGTGTGTGTGTGTGTGTGTATGTGTGTGTCACAGAATGACGGCTGGTACAGTCAACACACAATGACAGTTGGATATTAACAAACCTCCAGAGGGGGGAAAGGGGGCCGGAAGAAGGAGCAAAATTTAGAACAAAGGCTTAATGATATACATAAACCAGAAGCATAAAGCACCAATCTATTTTACTCTATCGCCATAAAAAGTAGGGAAAAATGGAAGATGTCGTAATGACGGCTATGATTCTTGACCAGTTCGTTCCAGTTCCACATGCAAAGAAGGTAAAAGGAGCAAGTTACTGCAGCCGTTTCCTGCAGGTTCAAAAAATAAAATAAAATACATTGCCATGTGAAAGCAAGAAAATGTTCTGTGGTCAACATTTGGACTTATGAAAATCGTAATTTTCAATGTAGTTTATTGGGATTTAATATGGTACACTTACAAAAACATTCACGGAAGATAACGGTGCATAATATTTAATCGTTTTGGGGTTTTTATGCGTGAATTACATTGGTCTTTAACCTCCCGGGGTACGAACACGTCTGCAAAACGCCGTACGCAACGAGTCGACTCCGTTAAACAGACGCTTCCTTTCACCGCTTGTGACGTTTTCCAGATTCTGGGTATTTGGCGGCGCGCAGCGTAGGCTGAACAAACCGCTCCGTTTACAAGCCCGTCTCTTCAGTCTTCATACAGCCAGATAAACGCATTCATTAGAGCAAAAAGATTACCTTTAAAGAAAGAGAGACCTTGACAACGAGCTGGGATGAATTCAAATAGTCTATGAGTTCTCCCTCCTCCCCTCGCTTAGCAGCAGAAGCGGCCGGGGTTTATTTGGATAGTAAAAAAAATAAATAAATAAATCTTGTAAGGCAAAGACCTAATTGAATTGCTTTGGATGGTAAGAGGAGCTCAATACCCCTTAACAGGTTTGAGGGAGGATGAAGGGAAGGATGGGAAGGGCATGAGGAGAAGAGGCACAGGAAGTGAGCGTGGTGGTGGAGGGGAGATGACAGGGTGGAGAATAATCGAGATGGACAGATAAGGAGGGAAAGAGGGGGGGAAAGAAAATAAAGAGAGGGGGGTTGGGCTGGAACAATAAAAATATATGCCAGAATGGAAGACGGATAACAGAGATCGAAAAAGGAAAGAACAAAAAAAGAGCGTGGAGAGCGACTAATTCACTTATCAGCATGTGCATCTTGCTGCCTTCAGGGGAAGGTAATGAGCTCACTCCTGTGCATAATGACACCATGTGAGTAAGCGATCGGTCACTAACGCCGCTGACTAATTGTCACTTTCTCATAAGCAGCGGTGGCCTCGGCGCCGGCAGGTTCCTCCGGCGCGTCGCGGGCCGCCCACAGGCCTTCTGGCATCCGCATTTTCTTTACTTTAAAACAAACTCAACAAACGCCACGTCGGCACACGACGCCTGGGCTTATACGCTCTCTCTCTCTCACACACACACACACACGCACGCACACACACACATATACCACTCCCGCCTGTGGCATTAAGGTCATCCTGCCACATCTAATAAACTCTCAGCAAGGACTCAGTTGGCAGTGGCATGGTGTCCACTTTGCTCTGCTTAGGCGGCATCTGTCCTAAGCCTGATTTGCAACGCGTCTGTCGGACGTCTCGCGAAGCAAAGCGCAATCTGCCACTTCTTACGACTCCCTCCGTTTCTTGGAGTTCGGTCCAACTGAAGCGCTTAAATATCAAGTTGGGTTACATTCCCCTCCCCCCCCCCAAGCTCATCTACCAGTGTTCACAAATATGGTTTCTGTTGGTGGAAGAGAAAGAAGGCTCTTACCAAGATTCTGTCCTCTGACTTGCCGCCTCTCGTCTCCTGTTTGATGGCTCGCACAAACTTAACGGGCTGTTTGTCCAAAACCTTCCTGATGCTCTCTGGGAAAAAATGTGAAAGAGGAAAAACAAAAACAAAAAAAAGAGAGAGAGAGAGAGAGAGAGAGAATATGAAATAAATAGTGATCTAACAGATTAACTTAGAAGACAGCTAAAGGTTTTTACAAAGAAAATTTATACAATATAAATATACAGCCGGGCCTGAAAAATTTGTGTAAAAGCTCGTATAAGTAAGCACCATATTTATTGATAATCAATATTGGCTGAAGTCAAAACGCTGCTTGCCAAAATATTACTGTTTTCTTCCTTTCTGCTCCCGGATGGGTCCTTACCCAGTCGTTTCCTCACACGCAGCGTAGAGACATTGAAAGTTACTTCAACCACAGAAACGGTGACAGTTTCCCCATTCATAAATTATTTTGTAGTGAGTGATTAGAGTCATTCGGTTCCAGGATTGTTCACAATCGGTCCCATAGTTTTGATGTTGGCCTGAATCATCTATTCCAAAACCAGTTTTCATGTATGCTTGGTGTCATTGTCTCGTCAGAAATCCCAGCAGAGACAAAGTTTTAGCCATCCTACTGAAACCGTCAAACCCAGAAGACAGGAAAACGGTTGGCATTTTGAGTAGCAACCCAAGAACCATTAACACTCGAGCCTCTAATGAACTGGAAGCTTCTGGTACACCAGTATTACTGTCAACATGGACCAAGAAAGTGTGAAACGGAAGAGAAGCCCATACTCCCAAATCTTTGAGTTTGACAGTGATTGACAGCTGCTAACAGCCAAAAAGTCTCCTACACAAAGGTTTTATTGTAAGAGCAGCAGGGGTGCTGGCAGGAATCTTGGGCCCTATGACAGAAAATGTTATTGGGCCCCCCCTTATGCACCTGCTGTTATAATTTGAGTGTATCTGAACCATCAAAAGCATCACAATTTTAAAGGCATGCAATTGCCTTGCTTTCTTTGGTCCAATACTGATAGTAGCACAGTATTTACTGCTTGTGAATTTTACATGCAACAGTCCGCATACAATGTGCAAATAGGTTGCTTAAATTTTTTTTTAATTAGATTTAGATTACTGAAAGATCTCTCCCCACCAGCAACAGTCACAGGCCACGTGCAAAATATACGTGTAGCAATCCAGACTTCTCAAAAAATGCTGTGTAGTTGCATTTTATTCAAGCTGCAGTATACAACTTTAATTAAAAAAATATATACTTTTTCTGTGTCATGACAATTTGTTATGAGACAGATAATCTGAGAAAAAAATCAATCTCCTCTACTTTCTCCCTGAGATACTATTGCTGGCTAAAGATTGTGATTTACAGCGCTGAAACCCTCCTCCTGGTTCTGATTGGTTGTTTCTGGGCAGCGCAGGGAGAAGAAAGAGAAGATGTTTCTCAGATAATTTCTCCGACTGTCACAACAGCTTTAACAAATATGTAAAATTTTTATTTATTTTTTGGTAAAAGTGGCATACTGCAGCTTTAATTTCACTTATGAGGGGGCAGATCATGAGGGACGTGGGAAAAGGTGTCTGTAATTTAAATGCAAATTTAGGTAAAACTGTGTGGACTGGCTCCAGTGCAGACAGGAGGCTGTTTTGTCATTATCATTTTAAAAAGATTGTTTGAGTTTCAGTAACATATTGCTTTTGTTGTGTAATTGTAAAAAAAAAAAAAGAAAAGAGAGAGAAATCCCTATAGATTCCCTGGAATGATGCTAACTAGCTTGTCAGTGTTGCTCATCTTTTTCACTGGGGGCAGGGCTTACAGGTTATTCTGATATCAGGGACCAGAGCTGCTGCTGACTGCTCACCTGTTGTTAAGTGTGGTAAAAGGTACAGGTACAAGTTAAATGTATGACTATCTTGGTATGTTATTCCTTAATTCATTAAACGCCAGTAAAATGGAGGCAAACCGTAGTTTGAAGCTAAGCTAACTATGGTTAGCTACGGTTGACATTCTCACACAGTCTACTCACCTCTCTTGGAGAAAAACTGGGTTACAAATTGACACTCGTCTTTTTTTTGGATAACCTGACTATAATTTTTCTTGGCAGCACAGTAACATCCACAGTTGTTCGTGTATTCTACTAAATATAGCTGAACACGTGTCACTGTCAAGTGCACCAAGCAGGAACGAACCATTTAACGCAGATCCAAGGGGGTGTTCAGGGCAAATTTGAATGTGTGCTTTTTGGTCTGGGAGAGGTAAAATTAAATTTTTACTGCTAAAAACAATTTATAAAGCATGATATGATTAATTTTGTTATTGACACTACCCCCATTTTTTTCTATTTCCGCAAAGAAGAAAAAAACTATGTTGTGGGGGGCCCCCAGTCGGTCGGGGGCCCTAGGAATTGTCCTACCTTTTGCCCCTGAAGAGGAGATATATGTGTAGCCATTTTACAAAAAGAGCAGAATGTGCAGGGGTCAATGTGAGATTTCCAAACCAAAGAAATGGTTGTGGCTGTATCATGCTCTTAAGCATTTGTACAAACGGTACATTATTTGTGCAACTAGTTCACTTGATAAACTGGATATGACAGTGAATAAAAATAACTACTGGAAATTCTTCAATTTCACCTCAAGTCAACATGATGATTAAAACTTTTAGATGTCCCAGCAGGTTAACAATCTTGAAAAAAAACAGGTTAAAATGGTAAAGCAGGCCAACATTAACCATCTGGAGAGGCCTTCTCATAGCGCCAACTTTAGTCAGTAACTCAGTGAGAATACTTATAAAACATATTTAAGTGAACTTCACTAATTAAGCTGGGAAGATTGGTCAAATATACAGAATTGCGCCACAAGTAAAAAAGAAAAAAAAAAAAAGTGAGATGTTGAAACTGAACTTCAAGTGACCCTAATGTGTTTTAGGAAAAATTCACACTAAATTCACGCTTCCAAATTTTGTTTCTACAATTCACTGAATCTGTTGTGCAACCATTCCACACCGGGGGAGGGGGGGGGAGTTCAATTTAATCATGGAAAGCACGCAGTGATTTACATTTATGCAAATGTTGGTTATATGCAAAACTGCAGAAAACTACAAAGTAGCATCTTGAGCTGCTATAGCAACAGTAGCAGCTCAAGATGTTATGAACAGAAGAACAGAGGCGCTCCTGTTGTAATGGGGTTTATATATTTAAAGTGAAAACCACAGTAACGATTGTAGCAATACTTTGCTAGAGTGACGGTTGTTATTCTCATTCTGTTAGTTTTCTGCTGAAGTTAAATCCCTGAAAGTGACTGGGGGGTCGGGGGGAGCCAATTTCCCATGTGAATTCAGATCCCACCTTTCACTCCGACCCCTATTTAGTTATTTAAATTGATACGAACCTTTTAAAGCTAAATGCTGACAGACAAGTACAACTTAATGTGGTTTAATTCACTGCCAATATAACACGAGAATTATAACTTCTATATCAGCACAGATGCAATTTCAGCACGTTGGGTCTTCACCTCTGAGTGAAATATTTGTAAATCATATTCTGAGCTTTGGCGTCAACAGCTCTCGAACATGATCAACTGCGCTTTCTCCATTAAGAGTGATTTACTAGAAGAGGGAAATAAGATTTAACAAAATATAAAAAGGCATTTTGTGCATGCCATGATAATCACCATGTAAAAATGTGCTTTATGTTGGGGTTGAATAACTGAACAAGGACCAGCCAGAGAGTGTAATATACAATAAGAAGGAAAGATGAAACACTGCTGGCGACGGAGCAAACAATTTGGTGCTTGGTTTTGCTTCGTCATTTTCTCAACATCTGAACAGTGAAAACTTTTATTACCATCCAGAGATAATTTGCTGAATGGTGTTTCTTCCATATCAAAATCTTCCTTAAAAGGGGTTTAAGTTTCATTGCAAATGTGAAAATAAAGAAAGATCACATTTCTTATTGTTAATACGGATTGCTCATTTAAAGAGAGCCATGCAGGAGACGTACAGTCAGAGACAAAGAGCTTGTGAGAACAGCCACATGGAAAACTAACAATGTGTTCAAGAATGGATGAGCTCCCTGCTTCACTGCAGTGGATCGGTTTCAGAGCTACATCGCCTTTCAGGAGTATTCTTACCTCCAATTTTCCGCATTTTGTTACGTTGCAACCGTAAACCTCTGTGAGTTTTTATTTGGATGGAGTTTATGTGCCAAAAAAAAAAAGTAGAGCGTGATTGTGAAATGGAGGAAAAATACATTGTTTTTACACATTTATTTTAGCTTATAGTTGTGATCGTCCCTCTTAAGCCACAACTTTGTAAAACCACCAGCTGCCAGGTTTCAGAAGTGTCTAACTTTCTGCTTTATCTCCTTTGCAAAGTAGCTCCAGCTCAGCCAGACTGGATAAAGGGTTTCTTTGAACATCAGTTTTCCTAATTGGATTTAGATTTGAACTTTGATTACACCATTCTAACACATGGATACGCTTTGATCCAAATCATTCTTTTGTAGTTCTCTGTGTTAAAGGTTGCTCTGATAGAAAGAGGACCTGCACCCCTGTCTCAAGTCCTTAGCAGACTCTGTTTTTTTTTCTTTTCCATCAGAATTGCCCAGTAATTAGCTTGATCTATCACTTAGCATTTTGTATTTTTCAAAAAAAAAGTCCAATTTTGGTCTTATTTGGCCAGAGAGCCTTCGTTTACATTTGCTTTAACCTCTGCATGGATTGTGTGAATTGTGATTGTATGTCTCTCTCTTTCAACAATGATTTTTTTTCTGGCCACTCTTTAAATAAATAAAGAAAGAAAACATTTGTGGAGTGACATACCAGTCCTGCCAAAAGATTCCTCCACCTGATCAATGGATATTTCAAGGGCTGGTCCGAAACGATCGCTACTGTGATTAATGCTCTGTTCCTTCCTTGTGAGTTCAAGCGGATGGCCATGTCTTGGTAGTAGATTTGTAGAGAGCCGTCAACAGATTCCTGGCTCTGGTTTCTCTCCGGTTAAAGTTACCAAAGGATTCTCGTCTGCTTTGATTTATGCTCTCCTTGCCCAGTCTGTCGATTGTAGGTTGAAAGTCATGTCATTGGTAGGTTTGACGGTGTACCGCGCTATTGGTTTTCACATTTATTGAACAAAGAACAGTGAGACGTTCCAAGCATTGACTATTGTTTTATGACCCAACCTTGCTGTAAACTTCTCCATCATTTTCTCTGACCCGTCTGCCGAGTTCCTTGGAGTTCACGAAGCTGCTTGTTCACTTTGGTTTTCTAACAGACCTCAGAGGGCGTCACAGGACAGGACTGACATGATTAGCCGGATTAATCGATTATTGATCTAACAGTCAACTGATTTGGTAATTGATTAATTGTTAGCTGAAGTGTACAGAATCAAAGCAAAGCATAGTGCTGTGCTGCTTAATAAGGTTCACAGCTGCAATGTGGCAAAACATGAAAAAGTAAGTCTGAGTTCTTTTAAAAAGCCGATGCACAACCTGCGAGAGAGTCACACCACGTCAAGCTGATCGACCCTCCTGTAACTCACTGAGACGCGCTCGAGGTTTCCTCCATTTACATTCAATTTCCAGTGTTGAGCCACAACACGTTCCGCTATTACACAAACATAATGTCAACCTATATCTTCTGTCGGCAAACACGCGCGTATGCCAACAAGCTGCGAGATATACCCGCGGCCCACATTCCAACCGAGCCCGCCACTCGAATTGAGCACTCATGGAGCTCAGCAGATGGAGATGCAGCGAGTCGTGCTGTGTCACGACACTCCATTGTGTCAAATTCTCCCAGACTTCTCCCACTAGATTGCAATTCTCCCCCGTCCAGTAGCGGTGGTGGAAGTTGGCTGTCACGCCTGATCGAGCAGCGGCAGATGCGGGGAGGATGAGGCGGAGGTGGGGCGGGTGCAGGGAACTCACTGGTGGGTTGAAGGAGGGATCAGCTGAAGGCAAACATGGAGTTATTGGTATTAAGGCTGGGTAAGACCCAATCACTTAAACCATTTAACTTACTATGCGCCGCCCCAGTGGCCTGCCCAGGTGACCTCAGCTTCTGCTCACGAAGGTGTAAAGAGGGACAGTAAGACGGGGAAGGATAGAAGCAAAAACAGAGACTCCCCTGCTCACTTCCTCTCTGAAGGTTTGAAATATTGATGTACACTTCAAAAATGAACGTTGCAGGGCAGAAAAAATACTAGCCACTTGTGTTATTTGCTTATATTCATATACATTATATTTCAAACAAATATGATATTCAATAGTCATTGAATTCTAAAATTAGCTGCTTGTTAGATACCAAATACCATCAAGACAAAAAGTTTGTTTGTGTAATTTAAGGCTCAAATATTTATATGAAGTGCTGAGGAAATCTTTCAACTTACTAAATAAAAATAAAACTCTCATAAGACTTGGAATTACGAACGATTGTGTGGGAGCAAGATTTGTGGTTTGCCTCCAACATTAGCTAGCTTAGTGACAAAGCTAATGCTAAGATCAAGTTCACTAACAAGGTGAGTTTTTGAAACCCTACAGCAGCAGCTGGTCATTGATGGCACATTTTAACTGTGGTTGTCAAGGCAAAAGTTGGAAGTGCACCTCTTGTGAATAAATCTGAAGAGTCTAATCCTAATTCAGTAGTACTTAAAGTCTTGCATAGCTTAGCAATGCCAAAAATGCTGAAGTCAAACATGCTAGCAAGTCAAGTTTCATAACCCTGAGGCAGTTCGTGCTGATGATGGAACCCGAGTTGCATGTTGAATAAATCTTTTAACTTACTAATACTTAAAAACATTCATAAGTCTTGAAATTAATAACAATCCTACGCCAGAGCATTGCGGTTCTTCTCTAATGTTAGCTGGTTTAGTGACTGAGCTAATGTAAACGTCTAACTTGCTAACAAGTTGAATTTTGCAACCCTGAATCAGTAGTAGTCTGTTAGGGAGTACATTTCATCTGAATAGGCCTCATCTGACCTGATAGCCTTCCTCTGAATGCTACATTTTTTTTTTTTTTTTTTTTTTTTTTTGTCAAATCCACAAAGTCTTTCTACAATTTCCAACAGTTTTCTCAGAAGCTTTATCTCCACCCCCTTCTCCTCTGGCAGGTGAGTTAATGAACCAAATGCCGCCTGGTGCTTAGACAGAAGGGGCTTGACAAGGTTGACCTGGTAAACAGCGGGACTTAACTCGCCGCATCACGATAATCAACAGTGAGAGACGCGCCTTCTCCGACATCCCATCGTCCAAACATGTTGATGTGCTTTGTGGGCTGCACTGTCCGAGAACTCACAGCGTAACACACACACACACACACACCTCCACCATCACCCTCCCCAGTGCATGCTGCTACAGCCTTCTGCACGCAAACAGCTCCCAGTCACATCCCAGCTCCCACGCACACGCACAGAAGAGAGAAGGGGGAAGAAACTCATAATGAATCCATAAAGCGCAGCGCGTTCACACTTAAAGGCTTAAAAATAACTCGGAAAATAAACTGGACCCAGCGCGCGCTTCCAGTTACAAGACAGGTTTAGTTTTATGGACAGATGAGCGCCAGAAGTGAGCATCCACGCACAGAGATCGATAGGACCACAGTTCACGCAAGCAAGCGTGACAGTTTTTTTTTTTTTTTTTTTTTTTTTTGTTAGTTTCTTTTGCGCTTCCAGCGACCGCATGTGGCGTTAAACTCCTTTTAAATCAAATTCAGAGAAAGAGAGGGGGCTGGGGGGAAGCATTCAGTGATCTGCCCCCCTGCGCATCCTCCTGGTTCGTTTCTAAAACACGTCTCGACCCCACTCTGAAGCTGCTAAACTTACCTGTGATTTCCCTGCTCACGCTGACGAAGCCGGCCGCTGAGTTCTCCTTTGAGGCCATGGTGCGCCGCGCCGCGCCGCGGTCCGTCCAGCCCTTCCGGCCGCTTCTCCGTCCTCCCTCAGACGTCCAGTCGCTGCCCACTTCTCTGACGCTCCCGTCTCCCCCGATCCTGTAAATATCCGGGTTCCGGCAGGTGCCCCTCGGTGTGGCAAAAGTCCGTAAAGTGAGACGCGGAGCGCTGGGTGCCGCGGTGCGCACTTGCAATCTCCACTTCGGCACTCAGGAAAAGAGCAGAAAGAGGGAGAGAGAGAGAGAGTGAGAGAGCGAGAGAGAGAGACGCAGGCACACAGAGGAGAGAAAGGGAGACTGATGACGATAAGGTGGTGGATGCCTGTTTTTGTTGTTGTTGTTGTTGTTTTTTTTTTGAAAATGTAAAAGAGCTCTGGGGCCACATTCTGCCGGGCCTAAAACATGCATCTCCCATCCGGTGGCTGCGACAACAAAAGTAAGGGAAATGGAAAAAAGGGTCTTAATATGCAGCTGCATAGAAAATTGTTAAAAAGTTAATTTAGTCTACATTATATTTAAACAGTCAAATTTACATATTAAATAGACCATTTACACACAGATTAATGTAGTCCAAGGTTTCATTTATGGGAAGAGGAGGCAAACTTTTTCCTGTCAGATCATGAATGTCCTCAGAGAGCCGCTTATGGCAGAATGCATCGATTAAATGACCCTTTCAGAAACTTAAAATGTTATAGTTTTCTCTGCGTTCGATTAGTACATCTTTATTTTCAACATCTATTCACATTGATGTAATTTGGTCGAATACAAATATTTGACTGATACAATAATACAAATGACCTGATATTAAAGATCAATGTCTCTCGCCCTCCAGACTGTAGAGGGAGACATAACTTATGTGTGTGGCAGCTGTGATTTGTAGTCATGTTCCTTAGAAACTTTGCATTTTAAAACCAAAACAAAGTTTTATTACACAAATCTCAACCTGAAGCCTCAGACTCACACAGTGTCCAGTATTTTCTTTTTTTGGGGGGATGAAAAACTGCATCAATTGACGGTTGTGTCTCATCTGCCGCTCGCCGATGCATCACAAATGATCAATGAGGACCAGACACCAGTCAATCATCTTCTCAAACTCTTTAAAACTAGTTTTGTTTTTGTCCCCTTCGGTTCTGCAGGAACGTGCAATAAGCGTGAGCTGAGGAAAGAATGAAGTACTCTAAACCTCGATGGCGGCGCTCACTTTCGACATGATTAAGAACGCAGATAATCTCCATCTGCAGACGAAACTGCTCCCTACATCACACTGCTGTTGGGAACTTCAAGTTGGGAACGTCACGCAGTCCAATCTGCCAAAAGCAGATTGGACTGCGTGACTCTCCGATCGTCTTCCAGACTCTGGGACTTTGATTTCCAAATGAAATCACAATTAATCACAATCTTAGTCTATGATTTACACTTTAAATTAGAATTTTAAAAAAGCGTGTAAAATTACTGCACTGCATAACAGAAATAAAAAATATTTTTAAATTGATTACTTTACATCAGTGTCATAAATTGTGTGGTTGAAGCGGGAACAAATTGCAGAGAGCAAAAAATTAAGACCACAACAAACTTACAGTAAGGACATAGACTGAGGGCAGGGTAGGAGGAAAAACCCGGTGAATAATGAGAGCCAGGAAGTTTAAATGCAGAGGAGGTGTGATCAGTGACATGAGAACAGGTGAGTCTAATCAGGGGACTGGTGAACAGCTGTGGGAGAGCAATGAATGGAGGAAACTGAGTGAATGAAGCTAATAAGTATGACACTCAGAAAGCCGAACTAGACACAAGATCATCTGCAAGTCAAAAAGAGAAAAGAGTCAAACAATAGCAAGAGAGAATAAAACAAATTTCATGGAGGAGGCATAAATACGTCTTGGAAAAGAAACGCAAGAGGAAAACGGAAGCACACCTATCGATCACGACAACTTCAGCTGTCAGATGCAGTTCTGGGCCCAAACACATCAATCAGGTTTCTGAATTCTCCCATCAGCGTTCAGTTGTTCAGCTCCCCAGAGGCCAGAAACACTCGATTAATTTGATGGAGCCAAAAAAAACGTTTTTATTGTTTTTCTTTTAAAGAAAACCGAAACATTAAAGACCCGTGGATTGTGACAATTGGTGTCATTGTCATGCTTAGGCTTCAACAGAGAGCCAAACACTTCAACTTAGAGATCCAGACTCAATCCCTTTTTACTGGTCTGTTTAAGCGAGTAAAAAAGGTTTCTGCCATTTTAGTCACTTCGGTCGAGTCCTGGAAACGTTCGGTGCTGTCCCGTGTTTTCTCTATTCAACGATGATGTCTGAAGTTCCAAAGTCTTGGAAACATTTTGTTACCCTGTCCAGAACAATACCAGTCACTTTCTTTGACGTCTGTGCTGAGATCAGGACATGATGTCTTTGTGATTAAAGGCAACGTCTGATTTTCTCAGAAAGGGTTATGTGGAGTAGTTACAAGTACTGTAGTAAGTATCCTGCCTGAAGTAAATAACAGAGGGACTGCCATTTGAAGAGTCATGAAGGTACTCTCGTAAGACACTAAGTAAAAAAAAAAAAAAAAAAAGCAGGGTCATTTTGCTCTTCAGGGCTCAAAGTGTTTCTGGTCAAAGAGACTTTGTTGGTTCAGCCATCTCAAACAAAATCTATCATCGCCAGAAACATAAAAAAATCTTTTGTCATCATTGTTGTAACTCACAACGACGTGTTAAGTAGTCTGAGAAAGCAAAAGTAAACCAAGCACTTTCTGACATTTTCTGGAAACATTAAGCAGCGTCACTGCTGCTGTGACTCATGTCCTATTGTCTTTTTTTCCCCTCCAGCAATGAGCGCCTCTACAGCTGTTCCTGAGTCAAAATCTCATAAGAGCAGAGCAACTTGCTCCCCATTACATCCGTGTCTGTCGGATGCTCCTGGTGACAGGTGAGGCTCGCAAAGCGTGACAGAAGTTAGCACCGACATGTTACATCAAGCTCCCGCGGCGTGACGTGTTCGAGACATTCACGATGTGTTAAGTCCCACGGTGTGCGCTGGGCTTTTACTTGAACTGACGAATTAACTCTTCAGCCTGTCACCGAGTTCTGCAGGAGCCCACTAATGACCCACTCTTTCAATTCAGGTGTGTCAGAGCAGAAAATGATCTACAACAGAAAGGACACTGGCAGTCGAAGACTAAAATAGCCAATCCTACAAAAATCCAGCTGAGAGCGGGGGCTGTTCGACGAGTTTCCACCATCAATCCGTCGTCGCGGGCTCAAAACTTTGATTGCAGCCATTTTTGATACGGAAGATTGTTTTTTTGTTGTGTCACTAACTTTAGAAGGCGGCTTCCTCATCCACAAATGTGGGCTGACCGTCCATCTGTTTTACCTGCTTAATTCTTCCAGGGTTTCTGGTGGCGACTCCAATATTTCCGTTCCTCTTCAGTCCAGTGATGCCTCTTGCATACAAACTGGTTTTTAATCCAGATTTTTTTTTTTTTTTCTTGTCTTTTTTTTTTTATGTTTTTGGGCAGTCAAAGGAAGCCAGACCACTGTCAGAAAACTAAACTAATTCATGGAAGAAAATGCAAACTCTAGAAGGATCTCAGATGTTTGGAGTTCAAAAGCAGGACCATATTAGCAACTGCGCCGCTACGAGCAAACAAACTAAAAAACAAAGATATTTCCTGAAGGAGAAAACAGAACAAGACCTGTTTGGTACAAAGACAGAATGTCTTGCACAGTTGGCTTATCAGTGGTAGTCACAGCACACAGAGTTAGCATAGCAGCACAATGTTTTTTAGTTGCAAAAATAATACAAATGTAAAGAACTGTTTCAAAGAACTGGTAAGCTTAGAGGCTGAATTCTGTTCTTAAAATTACTAAAATTTACTCCCCAGTTAGAACATGTACAAACTTATCAACAACAACTTATGGAAATGCATGCAAGATTTGTCAGAAAAGAGATTTAAGTCATAGTGCTGAAAAAACAAAGACCAATCTCCACATGTGCGTAGCAAAAATAAAAATGTCAAATGAAAGAGAAAATCGCCAGAACATCTACAAAATGGGAGTAAGCAAAAGAGAATCCAAACTAAAATTGGATTTTAGTTCTTTCTTTTAACTACATTGAATGTAGTTAAAAAAAAAGATTTTCAATAAACCATAAAAAAGAAAAAACTTTTCATCTATCTGAAGAAACATGACCCCCAATCAAAAGGTCATTTTTTTACACACCACTGTGGAAGGCTAATTTTGCAGCCTTAATAAATGTGTTTTCAGACTTATTTTCCTGTAATAATACGAGGACAAAAAGCAAAATAGAGTCATACATCAAACCGTTTTCACTCGGAGGCCTTCTCCTCGCGGCCGTGATGGGATTTGCGGCGGCGCGTCGGGAGGCCAGGTTGGAGCTCAAGCTGAATGTAACGCTGATATATGATTCATCCACTCGTCTGAATGGCTGCTACTTGTCAATGTCGGCGCTTGTGCAACACAGTTCAGCCGTTTTTATCAGCGGCAGGCGAAATTAGACGGTGCCGTTTAACTCCTTTAGTGCTAATACATCACTTTATAATATGACAGATCTGTTCAGGAGGACACAAACAAATGAGCTGCAGCAGGTGCGGCTGTATCCGGATTTCCAAAATAAGAAAAATATTGTCCCCTAACCCCTCCAGGGCTCCTGAGTTGTTCCACAAAAGTAAGGGGGAGGGGCAGGAGAGGGGTTTTCACATCCTCACCTCATAACGTATGAGAGATCTTTGTGTTTGCATCTCGCATAGAGTTGGTGCTGATGAAAGGAGAGCCAGAGGGGGGCATTATGGCAGAACGAAAACCGGGGTGGGGGCGTTGAAAGAGAAAGGGAAAGCGTACGAGGCTTGAATGAGAGGTTTATAGTTTGGGGGGCTGCAATCGTCTCCAGGTTTCATCGGGTTAAAACTTCATCTCTGTTCAAAGGTGCGCTTGAAAGGAGCTGCCATTACTTATTCATCAGCGCTGAATCTCATGGATACGTAGGAGTCGGGACTCTCAATTACTTTTCCGTCCACTGTATGCATATGAGTCTGCAGCATGAGCCTGAATGAAAGGATTCACATAGGGCGTTTCTGAGGGAGCGACGTGTTCACGGCCGACCAAGAAGAAGAAGAAGAAGATAATCGTTGATGTTTTTTTGTTTTTACTGCACATAATTGTTCTCTCTTCGGCACTGCATCACAGCTCATAAACACTCATGGAGAGAAAGAAAGAGAGCCGGCTGATTTGAGAAGCGGGATTATTAAAAAGCACTCCTTGCTTCTGTGACTCCGTCTGTAGGTTGGGTGTGTTGCAGCGCTCCTGTTGAGTCTGCCTGCCTGTTACAAGAACAATAACTCACCTGCTGGGTAAATAGCACAGGGAGAGTGGTTCAGTGCT